AAACCATTTCAGGTGACTACCTCTTGAAGCTCATGGAGAGAATGCCAAGAGTGTGCAAAGCAGTAATCAGAGCAAAGGGTGGCTATTTTGAAGAAACTAGAATATAAAACATGTTTTCAGTTATTTCCCTTTTTTTGTTAAGTACATAACTCCACATGTGTTCATTCATAGTTTTGATGCCTTCAGTGAGAATCTACAATGTAAATAGTCATGAAAATAAAGAAAACGCATTGAATGAGAAGGTGTGTCCAAACTTTTGGCCTGTACTGTAGATTACCACCAACAACAGGAAACATCTATGAAAATAACAATAACAGAGAAATGCAGATGTTGTTTTACTGTGGTATATGTTATAATCTCCCTTGTATGCAATTATAAGTTAAAAGTTAAACTTAAAAAATTGCAGAGTAACAACAACAGCAGATCTCTCCGGATGGACCATTGTCTCTGGTGAGCTCAGTGAACATTTTGTTTTATCACCAAAGTAACAAATATATCAGAAAGACGGTCAAAGTTCAGGTTGTACTGTTTATGTCCCGATTGTGTGCATGCTGCATGCAACAGTATGTACTCTCTGAGAGCAGCTGCAGTACATAATAAAAGTAAAAGCCAAAATTATGCATTTTGGAACACACCTAACATCTTGAGGCTCTATCCCGTCGGTTTTGACAGAGAGGGAGTGGGATGGACTTCTCATTCAGGAAATACTGTTTGTTTATACTCTTACTTTATAACTGCATGGTGAAATAATACAGGCAGCAGGGAAGAAAGAATGTTGCTCTAAGTGGCCAGAAAGCCACACTCCCTATCAGGAATTTATGTATATAACCCTACCACCCTGTCTCCACTGCTTTTTGCCACTGGGCCCCTCGTAAATGTTGCTTGGTAAATCTTGGTCTGACTGCAGCTTTAAACTGCAGACTTTTTTACCCCACCGTCAAGTGTGGCCATTTAGAGCGGGTAAAAAGATGCGGTTAAACATCATGTGAAATTTATATGAAGACAAATCTGGCCTAATTGACAGGTTTTCAACTGTAATAGTGCTTCAATTCAACACCACAAAAAGTCACTATTTTGAACAGTTCATAACATTTTAACAAGGGAATAAAGTAACAAGTAACAAAACAAAAGAAATAAAAAACTATTAGTTATTGAAAGCACAAGCTAATAGCAAAACTACCAATGATGTTAAGACCTATTTAATCACAAATAACAGTCTCCTGTATCTTAAAAAAAATTGTTCACAGAAAAAGATTTCAGCAGTGCCAACCAACATTGACAAAATCAGTGTAGATTCATGAGTGGAGAAGAACTTACCAGCCATGAGAAGACAGACGATGCACATGGAAAATGCCACCAGCATAATGATGGGCAGCTGCAAGAGCAGGATTCAAAGGATCAGACTAACAGTCACATTAACTGCTGCTGAGAAGACAGAAAGTACTGATATACTGACCGTGAGGAACTTCCAGTCCTTCTGCACACGAAGAGGAGTGGGTCCGTCAGACTCATCGACAGCAAAGTTACCCAGAAACAGGTCAATAGAATCCTGAAACCAACAAAACCACAGTGACGCTGTGACTGGATTGATGATACTATTCCAAACCACATTTATTTCTTTACTGGGGCTCATTTCACAGCCAGCTTCACTGAAATGCAAAGGCCCAGACACACCAAACCCACTTCAGAGAACTAGCTAGGGATGGGCAACACAAGCAAAAACACTATTCGAAAATCGTAGCAACTATTCAAACCCCCCCCCCCCCCAGGAGCCACGCACACAGAGATCCATTCATCTTTAAAGGTCCGAACATACTCGGAACGGACTCCACGGAGGTCCGCACGGACTCAAAGCAGACGTCCGCAAGCCCTGTGCGCGCACACCGGTGACTGCTCAGCATGTATTTTTCACATCGCAGGGATTTTTCACTGACATTTTTACAGGAAACTACAACACGAAAGTGCACTCGACTATGAAAGCCCGAATGACTGCGGACATTCCTCACAGAGTAGTAGTCTCTGCATGTTTCTCCTGTTTGTAGAAGTGCATCAAACTAGCTGGTAGCCCATCTCACACCGCTGTAGCAATCCTAGACTGCCCTTGTGCGGTTAGGAGCTGAACTGCATGTCAAATAAAGGGGGGGAAATAAGACAGCGAATAGTAATGGTCGCATTAAAAAATTGATTTTTCAAAAATAAAACGACTATTCGAAATTCAAAAATCGTGACCCATCCCTAGAACTAGCAGCAATGAAAGCCGACTGTTGCATCGCCTCATGTCCTCTGTGCCTTGGCCAAAAACTTGCGCTTAAACACAGCACAAAGACTACAGCCGAAAGCCAACAAGCACATACATTCTGCACCTGTGTGAGAAGAAATAACTCTCCACACCAGCAGGCGTTGGTCGTCTGTATTCATCATTAAAAAAGGGAACCGGAAAACGGTCTTAACGCTAGTTAGCCAGTTAGCACATGAATAACACAATCCAATGTTGACAGAACAGAGCATATTTACTGTGTGCCAATGTAAAATAACACAAACCATCAAGAAATGTTTCTGCTAAAGAGCTCAGTGGATGAAGAAAAATAATCTGACCTCATGTAACAAGTTTGCTTTGGTCTCACTCGTTCTAGATTTTAGCTCTTTGTTTACTTTCCTCGCTTCTGTTTGTCCTCTTGTGCACTGAGCTGAACTGACAATCACTGTGATTTCATTCACAGATGGGCTCTGCCATTGCTGATTCAACATGCTGAATCAGCTGACAATAGCTGACAGGGGCGGACAGTGGTGCGTGAAACACTTCAATCATTATGGTGTCAGACGCTCACCGGTGTTAACTCTGTTGATGAAAACTATGATGAAAAGTTTTCGTCAACGACCTTTTTTCCATGACGAAAAGGAGACAATGACAAGCTAAAAATAGATCTTGATGATAAAAACTAAGACAAAATTTAGGTTTCATTTTCGTTGACTAGACTACACATGACGAAAATGTTTTTGGTGGACTATACAGCTAAAACACTCACAATGGAGCAGTGTCAGCCGTTGTTGCGAGTTGTGAGCTGTAATTCAGCAGTAAATGATCAGCCATGTGTGTCTGACTGTGGATGGTGAAGCTGCTGAATGGATTTGTGGAGTTTGTTAGTAGCAGCGGTGGCTGTTAGCAGTCAGCTCCGCTTGTTAGCCACTGAACGGCAGCGGAGCAAGCAGCCACCAGCCGCCGGACTTCACAGCTGTTGATTCCCGCAGGACTCCACTCAGAGCCAGATTGTCTTGATAAGGTTTATGGTCTGATGCTGTTTGACAAGCAGGTACAGTAGGAGGCTCAGTTATCTGAGAGTATAGCTGTGCTGTCAGTAAACAGTCTGAACTCAGATCAGTTTTGATGAAAGTTTTTCTGCTTCTTAACAGTGAGATGGATAAGTCAGAGTTTACATTGAACCTGGGTATATATCCTAGTTGTCTCTGATTAGTTATTTGCGGTGTTTTTGAGAGCATAAATAGAGAAATGTTGAGCTTTCCAAATGATGATCAGAATCAGAATCTCTTTATTGTCATTGTATGAGTACAACAAAATTGAGGTAGCAGCTCTCAGATTCAGTGCAATAGAGGTATACGTTAAAAACAAGGCAGCAAAACAACAGCTATAGAAATATCATAAAAATAAACTTTAAATAAGAAATAAAAAATATCACTAAACTGTACAAAACAAATTACACTAGTATACAGATTTACACTATCATTTCAAGTAGAACCCAGTCTATTATATATTGCACAGATGGCTGTATATTGCACAGTAGAGTATTTAGTGAATATTCAAGTGTTTTCAGGATTGTGCAGAGTTCAGTGCAATGACAGCTTTGGGGTAAAAGCTGTTTTTCAGTCTGTTTGTTTTTGCTTTGATGGTCCTAAAGCACCTCCCTGAGGGCAACAGTTCAAATAGGTGGTGGCCAGGGTGGGATGGGTCTCTGAGGATGCTGTGGGCTCTCCTGAGGCAGCATGTATTGTAAATGTCCTCAAGATAGAAGACGGTAGAAGGACACTAACAGTTTCTGTGTTAAGTTATTCTTCCTGAGTATCCTTAGGAAATACAGTCTCTGTTGTGCCTTCTTCAGCAGTGCCGTGGTGTTTGTTGTCCATGACAGGTCCTCCTTGATGTGAGTGCCGAGGAACCTGAAGTCTGAGACCATCTCCACTCCGTCCCCATTGATGACAATAGGCTGAATGTCAGATTTCCTCCACCTGAGGTCGACTATCAGCTCTTTTGTTTTGGAGGTGTTGAGGATGAAATTGTTCATGGAGCACCATGCTGACAGCCTTTTCACCTCCTCCCTGTATGCAGTCTCATCTCCTCCTGAGATGAGCCCCGCTACGGTGGTATCATCCGCAAACTTAATGCCGTTGTTCGGGTTGGTGGGTGCGCAGTCGTGGGTATAGAGGGTATAGGTGGCTAGGTGGCTGGGAAATGTATTGCTCCAAATAATATTGCAATAATTAAGATGAGACTCAAATAATGACCGATATAATGTTACAAGTGCTTCAGCAGGTAAGAAATGCCTCATCCAACATATTTTGATAGTTTCTTAGTTAATACATCAATATGGCCCCTGAAATTTACAAACTCGTCCATATGAACTCCCAGGAATCTAGTGGACTTCACTCTCTCAACAGGACTGTCATTTATTTTAATATCAATAAGTTCAAGGTTGCCCCGATTTCTGTTTGATCGAAAAATTACAAAGTTTGTCTTGTTTATATTTAGAGATAATTTATTGCATTTTAACCATGTATCAACCTTGATCAATTCATCATTGAGATTCTTTTGCAGATCATTTATGTTTTTGTGTGATAATAAAAATAAATTAGTATCATCTGCGAACAGTGACGGACTGGGACCAAAAAGAGGCCCTGGCATTTTTGACACAGAGGCCCCATGGCGGCGCATCGGCCAGCCAGGGGTGAAAAATTTTCATATTATTTTACAAAAAAAATATATGCATTTTTACGTGATTTTAGATCATCAGTTCCTTATTTGTGAAAGAACAGGCGTGGTGTCTCATATCCCCCCTCCCACATATGACTAGGTACTATGATTGATAATTTTACACATACTAACATAAAAAACACTACCATTGGCAGAACGTTTCAGAGCGCCACAGAGACACAGACTGTTCCACAACTACCATAGAAACTCACACACTCACTCACTGCCTTGATGCACAATAGAAGAGGAGATATACAGACACAGTCATTATGAATGATAAAACTGATTAGTGGCTTGCATGGGAGCATGTGGAAAGCTAACCATATGATGAGAATGTAGAGATTCAGAACACACACCACGCAATCAACTCACTACAATCGCACTGGTACAGTAGACAATAATGCACAGCACACAAGATAATAAGGCAGCAGCAGAACCCCCATAAATTCAGGCACGTTCAAAGGCCAGACTAATAAACTCAGTTAATAATACTAGCTCTATGTCTACCAAAACACGAAAATCTGAAATCAAACACCACACAACTTCATCCTAAAGGCTTAGCCTACTTCCACCATTAACCATAGGCGCCCCCTCTTGGACAGAAGACAGCACAACCAAATTATAACAACAGAAACATAAATCTTACACCAACCACAATGCATGTTACAATAGCTTCACCAAAACATGAAAAGAGCACTGAACAGCCACAGTGCACATTTCAATAGCTCTATCAAAAGCACTAGTTACAACAGAAACAAGAAGGACCCTATGTCTTATAAGCCATAATAAATATTACAGCAGCCACAATGCATATTACAATAGCTTCACCAAAACATGACAAGAGCACTGCACAGCTAGACTAGACTAGAATAAATATGTGTCTCTCAGTGTCTTCTTTTAAATCTCTTCTTACTCACATTTATTGTATGGTCTTTTCTTAATTGATGGTAATTAATTATTGTAACTGTTTTTAAATTATTTGATGTTTTATTGTTTTATGTACTAATTGTTTTTATTGTGTAATTGTTTTTATTGTTAAGCACGTTGTGACTCCGTTTTGAAAGGTGCTATACAAATTAAGTTATTATTATTTATTATTATTATGTCTTACCTTTAAGTAGTTAGCAGGCTGCGAAGGAGTTTGCTCTTCTCTGAGGCAGAGGCCGTACTGCTAGCTGCACTTGCTGCAGAGGTGCTCGGTCTGTCGCCGCCGGGTAAACACTTTTTTGTAAATAAATCTGATATTTTCGCATACTTTTCACTCTCTGAGAGCATAGCTTTCCTTTTTTTCCTCTCTCTTTTTCTCCGCTTCAACCTTCTCCACTCCTCTTTCCGTGCCTCGATCCATTTTCTTTTCTTGCTGTGATGTTGTCCTTGACGTTGAGTGCATTACCCATCATTCATTTGTCACTTGTCAGATGTCAAATGTCATCACTTAATGATCGCGAGAAAATGCTTGATGACCAAAAACACTTTATATTACCGATAGCCCCATTTCACTCATATTTATTTAAAATTATATTTAGGCTACTACTTATATGTATATTGTGGCCGATAAAAATGTT